TATCTGACACCATATATGATTTTAATGTATAGCTCCAATACTCATAAATAATAACTAAAGATCCACTGATACAATTTACATGACTTTATTGACCGGAAGTAATGGCCTCGTGCGCCTTTTAACAGTATGCGCATGCGCGCATAATTAACCTTAAGGTAGGCAGAGCAGATACTAGAACATCACAACATTCTTCTGATAAAATCAAGTAAATATATCGAAATAAGGAGAAAGTTATTTTAAGTCTGGGAGAAAAATAGAGGAGTGAATACGAACGGCACAAATTTGCGTTCGGTTGTTTGAAATAGCGAACAATTCATTTTCTTCCATGTTAATCTGTCATTGAACCAAATAAATGTGTGTTCGATAAAGTTCTGCATATACGAACGACGTGAATTTAAGATCGGTCAACTAAAATAGCGAACATTTGCTTTTCTTCCATGTAAATCTGTAATTGAAGCAAAGAAATATACGTTCGATAAAACACTGCATAAGTGAAAATTTAAAAACAAACAAAACTTCGACTTTTCGGTAAGATTTTGTTATTTTAAATCTTTTGAGGCGGTGAAACAACGTGTAGATTTGTCAGTGGTGCAAGGAATAACCCTGAGGCGCATTTCTTTGATTGCAATTGCTTGGAGGCGCGGCGCCTCAGTAAGTTCAATGTAGGGAGAGCACAGCATTGTATTTCATAGTTGAAATATAAAAGTTCAGTTTTTAGAATATTAATATACCAATTTCTATCCGCATAATACTCTCTCATTCACATATGTTATTTCCGTTTTAATTTCCAGGATGTCATCAGAATGTTATTTTAAAAAGTTCTTGAAATGCTCATTAGATAGTACCACAGACTTGCAAATTAATGGTGCCCAAAGAATTGAAAAAATCATAGCCTCTAGCAAACAGAGGGAAGATAGTATACATATTGACATTTCAACTCAGCTAAACAGTAATCCTGACTGGACAATAAAAAGTCACAAAATGATGATCATGGTCCATTTGACCATAAAGATGGACTCATACAACTAATGAGTGATAACTTTGATGCCAATATTTCTTCCCAAAATGGTTTAAAGTCAACTCATGCCTTAGCGGTCCTTCTAACACAGTGCCAATCAGGTTATTCTACTGATGACGCAGATGATGAATATGATACAACTGTCCCAAGGCTACCTTTGAGTGATTCTCGGGAAAGCTGTCCTGATGTCCCATCCCAAATATATGAAGGACCTAAGAATTGAAAACTTCTGTATTGCTTTCACTAAGTACATCCTGAGACTCCTAACCGAATCAGATGTATACCTTATCTTTGACAGATATAAAGACAATAGCATAAAGAACAGCACCAGGTCATCTCGAGCTCAATCAGCCAGTAGAGTGTATAAGTTCAGCTCTGACACACCTCTCCCTGCACAGAATGTTGTTCTGAATGTGACTGAGAACAAGGTCCAGTTGATAAAGTGTGTCATTGACCATCTCACTCAAAAAGCTAGTGAAGGATCATTATCCAACATCCTTGTTATCACAGGTCCTGATCCAACACCTGTACAAATTCACAAAGGCAATATTGACCAACCTGTTTCCATTTGTAATAAGCAGACATATGAAAAGTCGCGGGTTCCCCTATCCTAGCCTCGTTCTGAGATGTGACCTTGAACTTTCAATTCAGGAAGTAAAAATTGTGCTTATTTCGAAAATAGTTCGTTTTTCATCAATTATTTCAACAATTTTGCACTCAAAGACAGATTTTGAGTAACAAAATGGCGTCTAATGGATGTCGACGAGTGTATGTAGAAGAAGCATTGCATATTATAAGGGATGTGCTGGGAAAAAGTGATGATTCAGACTTCAATAGTAACAAGTAGTAGGTGAGTTTAGATTGACTTTATGGAGCTGACATGCAATTACAAGGGGTTACACAAGGTGTTACAGATTATTTTGTGACAAAGCAAAATCAGGTATATTTTTCGCTTTTCAATTCAATTTGATGAGCTACCATACCCATACCATCTCTCTAATGTACAATTTTATGTCATTTCTGAATAGTTGATGGCTTGAGCATTCAGAAAATATATAGTTTCATGAGCTTTCTGATGCTCTATAGGATTCTATATCAATTAACACACGGACAGTCACAATTTTAAAAACTTTTTATTGGTTTTGATCGTTTAAGGGTTAAGGAACACTCAAGAAGAAGCAAATGTTGTTATCGTGCACCAGGTTCTGCATGCTGCCAGTAAAGGCCAACAGAATATCAGTGAACTCAGTGATGATACTGATGTTTTCCTTCTACTTCTTCATCACTGTCTCAAGCACAAGTTAATGGAAAATAACATCATAATGGAGGGAACATCATCAGGCCGAGCAAACATTAACATTAATGCAACCGTAAATGAACACACTTCAACCAACAACAGAAGCATTTTCCCAGCATGTGAAGCGAGCTCTTTTCCAAGTAGCTATATGAAAAAATGCCTGATCCCCCACTTATCCTTCCAACAGATTATGGTTGGGAAATTAACAGCACGGGCTCACTTGTCCCAACAACAATGCCCAAGGATACACCGTGCCCCTGAAGGAATTCTCCAGCCCATTTAGTACACATGTGCATCAGAGGGCAATGTATGTGGAACTGGGCGATGTTCATGCTCCAAGGCATCTTTATCATCTACATTGTTCTGTGTTTGCAAGGGGAATGAATGCAATAACCAACATACAAAGACAGTAACTGAACAGGAATTGGAAGAACCTGATGAGGATTTATTGAGGGAAATCCTTGATGAAATCTTAGTAAAACAAGATAATTCATAAATTCAAGATATATATAGCACCAAGAAATGACCCTTGTGGAACATCATTATTATTATTTAGGTTACTTTTTACTCATTTCAGATATTTTATATGTGAGAAAGAGATCATAATCAGATGTATTTAGTATTATTTATTGATAATTTTGTAGGAAACACTAATATCAATTTGATATTATCACAGAATGAGACATTTCATGAATTCTCCCTTTCGCGGTTCGCTGTTTGAATCAGAACGTTCGCAAATATGTTCTGAAAAAGCACTCAAAAAGGACAAAATTTGATTGGTCAATACTTTCACACTTAGTCAGTATACCGAGTTTAATCAATAAAAGATTGTACAATGAACAACAAAATTCGGAAACGAGTACTATAGATTTGCTTTCGAACCACTGAACAGATTGACCTAGATAATAGTGATGCGTCTTCTTTGGTCTACTGCTCAGTTGTTTGTGGGTTTTCAACGTAACTCTATAATGTAATTTGAAGATGAACACTTTTATTCAGTTGTTGCATTGATGTTGCAGTTTGTAGTGTGGTAAGATTGGCATGAAAGTATTGAAAGTCGAATGGAATTGTTTTTTCCAATATGGCGACTAGTCAACTGATCACGTGACCTTCTCTTCCGGAATATTTTCTCACTTTTCAATCGTCGTTTTCACCACGCTATGAATCAATACAATGAAAAAAATAGCTGTTATATTAAGATTAATAAGAGATCAATCGTTTCTAATAATTTTTTCTGTACTCTCATACGGGAATATAAACGAATATATCGTTTGAAAAATTGTTGTGAAAATCCCCATGTTAAACCTATGAGGGAAAACAAGGAAGTATAAATTTGTTCCTCCGCGAACTGCATCATGGGAAATATTCTGACCTTATAAGGAAAGATTTTCGCGTCTCCTCTTTTGAAGAGGGAACAACGATTTCGAGAATTGTAAGGTTGGCGGCCATCTTGAATTTTTTTTATTTTTGTCAAGAAACATTTCTGGAACCTAACATATTCAAGGTATACATCATATTAAAACTCTATTATAGAAAAAACAGCAAGATATGTTTATGTGTATGCTAGTTTTCTGTTCTAATATGCTGGCTAAAATACATAAAACGTGTGAAAATTCAAAATGGCCGCCAAAAAAATTCCTCAAGGATGCCCAGCTCTACATCCAGACTAAATTGATAGTTTATTAGGTGTTAAAAAATCAACAGCAACACCAGCAGTCTATGGAGAATTAGGACGTTACCCATTAAAAATACGTTTTGAAATTAAGTTAATTAAATATTGGCTCCGTTTAATTCATCTATCACCTGGAAACATTCTTCATAAAACATATACGCATGACCGTGAAATGAGCCAACTGGGTTTTAAAGGCACTTGGTCAAACAAAATCATTGATATTTTGAAAAAATGTGATTTATTCTCATATTGGGAAACTCAAAAGATCGATGATGATTATATTTTTATCAAGATGATAACAAAAAAACTGTATCAGAATTATAAGTCTCAGTGGCAGAAAGATATTTTCAAATATCCTGTTTTAAGAACTTACATAACATTCAAAAATGTCTTTGAAAAAGAGGGTTATTTAAATATACAAAATAAAAATTACAGACAAGCAATAAGTAGATTTAGGCTTAGTTCACACAAATTACATATAGAAATTGGTCGTCATTTGAAGCCTAAGCCAAGGCCTTTGGATGAACGTTTATGTAATATGTGTGGTATTTTAGAAGATGAACAACACTTTATCATGGTGTGTAAGAAAAATACAACAGAGAGAAAACTTTTGTTTGACACCCTTACGCAATTTAATTTTGTAGGAAGTCCTAACTTTATTTTCAAAAAGCTTTTGTCTCATAAAAATTCTTATGTTATTTTACATCTAGCAAAGTTCATTTATCATTCATTCAAAAAACTGGATTAATATTGTAACAATGATACATCACACTGATGTTTTAAATTCTGTCATGTTGTATCTGTATTTTACAATTATCTCATTTTTGTATTTTACATTTTGTGATGCTGTAATTGTATTTTACAACTTTGTATATTTCCTATGAAGTAGTTAGTTTAGTCTTAGTTTAATTTTGTATATTGTAGTTTGTAGTGACTAATATGTCATTGCAATGACATCAGAGAGTCAATAAAAGATATATATACATAACTGTTCAATTTAAAGCTATACCTACCACACCATCAGATGACCCTAAAGCAAACTGCTCCAGCCGTGGATGCATTGAGATTGAGATGAAAGGAGACGAGGAAATTATACTGCTCTGGTAAATCAGTTCACAACCTACAACATCCCAGATCTGAAAATTGAAATAAGCCAGACAGATACACAGTGATAAATATCGCATTTAAAGAGCAAAATATCCAGAGCTACCAAAGTCATAGCCTAGCCTTGCTTAAGTCAGTGTCTTTTTAATATTTTTTACTTTAACATCACCACCTTGTACCAAGCACACAGACACTTGCTTTTCTGACACTAATGTATGTTATTGTCAGTTCAATTTTGACCTAATGCTCAACGATTAGCCAATCAGTGATGCTGTTACTGTGTTAGCTCATTATTTAAGCTCACTTGAAATAAGTCGAAAACAGTTTTAAAAAATAGGACCCACGGTCCTGTGCTCTCACAGTTTGGAACCTTCAGAGGAATGTATATCCTGACTTTCAAACAAAAATATTGACTTGGATTTGTAGTCTCGAACTATGAGAAACTTAGACAGCACAGTTGTGTGACCTAGTTTGATGACCTTTGACCTTGAAAATTTTACTTATTTAGAGCTCAGTAAGGTCTTTTGTGATTAAGCTGACAAAAATTTACATCCAAAAATCAATTTGAAAAATCAACTTTTTGACCTTTCAAAGGCCACTGAAGGTCAAGTAAAGGTAAAATCCTAAAACTAATGTCAGATTTTAACTCCTGGTAACGTGTAGATGATTATTTTTACTGTTTTTTGACATCAAATATCTCAAAAACGGTAAAAATTTGATGCTGACATATATTGAGCAATATGTAGGGAATGGTTAAATCTAGTTATAATGTAATTCATTGCAAGAATTGATCAAGTATAAGGCAAACTTTGGGAAACTTGTCAATCACAAAACCTGCCATTGACTTTATGCATGAGAAAGTTTCCTGAAATGACTAAGTCCTACTTTTTGTCAAATTTTATAGAGTAAACACCAAAAACTGTAATTCCAAGAGCTTTGAAATCTTCAGAGGACATAAGTTGCATATACAGCAACTACTACAAGTTATTTGAAAGTTCTACTTCAACAAAGTGTCTAATATTTACAGAAAATTTGACTTTTTGACGTCAAAATCAGCAATTTCTCGGAAACCGGGCGAACTTGGGAAATGGCGATGATAGGTCAAATAGGCATTATGGATATGCATAAAATGACTGTGAATATGACTCAATCCGAATAGCAGTTTTAATTTGTGCGGCCAATGTTGACGGACGGACGGACCAACGGACGGACGGACCAACGGACGGACGCCTAGTCGATCCCATAGGCTCACTGTGTGAGCCAAAAATCAAATAAATCTTGCACAATTTATCGCAAAAATACTAATTATTATTTTAATAAATGGATATCAATCGGGTGCCCCCCAGTTGTCCGAAACCCAGTTCTCCGAAACCCACTTGTCCGAAACCCACTTGTCCGAAACCCACTTGTCCGAAACCCACTTGTCCGAAACCCATTACTCCGAAAAATATAGTCATAATTTACCAGAGAAAGGGGAGACGTACTAAGCTTAGGCCAGTTTCATGCCATGTATTTGGCCAAATTAATGGCATGGACGCATTCTGATGTTCATAGATCTCTCTCTCTCTCTCACTTTGAATTGCATCCATTGCACGCGTTACCAGAATGGCAGGAACGGGGGATTTATTTTACATTGTGATTCTAAAAAAAGGTTATCAAAACACAATATATATTACAGAACAGTTTATCTTATCTTCTTCAATCTCTTTTATATAGGCAAAATAAAATGAATCATTTTGAAACAGATAAAATAAGTTTACGCATATAGTACTTTAAGAATAAAACAGTATACATATTACGTTGTCAAAATATTTCGTCGCATTTAATTTCTTAGTCTCTGTATTTTATCAAATCGTAAAAGAACAAAACATTCTTAACTTAATCACTTGGGTTCAACTGGAAACGAAGGCAGGCTGTTCTCGCATCAAAATGGATGTTCTCCCATTCGCAAGAAGTTTCATTTTCGCCATGTATTCACTTCATCCTTTTAATTTAATCTTTATTTCTCGAACAGAGTACGTAAATGAAGAATAAGTTTTGGTTTCAAAAGATGTACATGTCAACTTTACTAAATAAATGCCCACTGGCTTGGGAAAGCTATTTTTCCTTTTATGAACGCTCATCAGCCATTGGAAAAATGTTGTTCCCTCTCAAAAAAGGCCCATGGGCCATAAAGAAAATTGGTTTAAAAATTGTAGACCCCTATCTATGTATGTTGTGTAAACGCCATTTTACAATGAGAATAACATAATTTAACTTTGTTTGTTTGAACATCTATATCACCTGCTGTATATGAACTTTCGTAGGCTAAACATTAAACAATTAACGTCTTGACTTAGCATATTTAGCCTAATTTTGCAATGATGTCAATGTTATTCCAATGTTATGTTGTGATTCGCAGAGGTTGCGACAATGAGATTCGTTTAAAAAAATTGTATTTTTCAAATAAGATCCCCTAATTTTCGGAGAACTGGGTTTCGGACAACTGGGTTTTGGAAAACTGGGTTTCGGAGAACTGGGTTTCGGACAACTGGGTTGACCCCATATCAATCAGAGCATAGTGGATACACAGAGCTGTGAAGATCTGTGTATCGTTGCTCACTTTCTTAAGTTAGTTTGCATCTGTTATACAAAAAATAACCAAAATAAATTAATATTCGATGGAGGGGGAGTGGATTGAGGTGTGGGAGTAACATGTATATAAGACTAGATAAGACATGCTACTTGAATTTATTCTTATCACTCCAAATTTTCCCATTTTTCATTCTCCAGAGATATATATTATATTATATTATTACCACCTTGCCGGGCCAGTTCTAGGGGTTTTAGTGCTAGTTTAGAAAGCATTCATTTTACTATATCGACCTGAGAAATGTGTGACGTCATAGTGGTGGTCCATATGGACCGGTCTAGAATATATTCTGGACCGGCAAATCTTCCCCGGGAAATTAGATATCGTTCAGTGCGTAAGATTTTCTTGCTATTTCAGCCCTGGTCGTTAACGGTGGTAATAATACTAATAATAACGTCATTTCGGCGAGCAATAATTATTATATTTCACTAATTTCACTATATTGCCCTTAGAAATGACGTTATTGTACTAATATCCAGATTCTTACTGGGGTACTGAGTTCAGTTTTTTCAAATACACGAGTACTTGTGAATTTGTTCCATCGTAAAGACATATAACTCCCCCCCCCCTTCATCCACTCCCCCCATCCAATATTAATTTATTTCGACTATTTTTTGTATAACGCATGGGAACTAACTTTAAAAAGTGAGCAATGTCATCAGTGTTGTGATAATAACGTCCCTTATAACTATTTATCACATGTTGTGTAGACCATTGTTGCCTGATTTGCAAAAACATCGACTTTTGCATGTTGGTGATGATGCGCCTTTTTTAATAGATCTCAAATCTTAGAAGCTTATCAGTTTAAAAAAATACTAGAAGACCTAACATATATTGCCATGCACTGCGCCTATTCATTTAGCAATTCAGTTGTAAATTTTCTCTTGAAAAAAATCTTCCAAATTTTTTGCAGTTTCTTGCAGATATCGCCTACTCCACGATGCCCATGTCAAGCAGCGTGCCTACTAGGCACGCAGTTTGAAACTCTGACAAACTGCGTGCATATTTCAAAATGGAAGACGGGGAGGACACGACTCCCAAAAAGAGCCAAAATACGAAAAGTACAAGGTTAGTCTCGTTCTAAAGATAGTACCATTCTGTGAAGATGAACTTATTTTACTCATAGTACTCAATGTTGTTCCCGATGTAAACCTAGTTATCTCAATATAAGGGTCTTAAGTAACTTCTGTGTTCAAAATTTACAGTGTAAAGTTATATCTATGTCTTTTTATCGTCATTTGCCGTTTATTCAGCCATCGTGTCTGTGTATGCTAGAATATATAGGATCACTCCATCTGATTAAAGCAGGATAGTTTGTGTTCAAAACGATAATACGCCATAAACGTGATTTAAACATTTTTCTTGTCAAACTGTGTGCCTATATTCACATGTATTTCCCAAACTGCGTGCCTAATATTTCCAAATTGCTTGCCTATCCAAGCTTGTTTTGTATAATTAGAAAACGTAAGCGCCATATGTAAGGCACATTCGTGTCTAATAGTAGAACCCCATAACTGAAACACTATGAGAGTCCATCCACCAAGATGGTGATCTGAAAATAAAAGTTTTTTCGTTCCAAACTTAATTGTCACTTCTATTATACATTTTGACTTTCAATATGAAAATCTCATAAAATCTGACGATAAAGCAAAATTTCCAAAGCTATATGAAAAACACCTACACGTGCCTCTGCAGAAATTCCAATGATAGAATGTAGTTTTTATAGTGTATGCGCACAGTTTGTAATTTCTGGCTTAAATAGGCGCGCAGTTTGTGCTTTATTTCTTTTTAATCTCCTGATTATCTGTTTTATCTCGAAATATTTTGAATTATACATGATAAATGCGTAAGGAATTAAATATAAAACGAGTCTAAAGTATTTGTCATTTACGTTTAAAGTGCTAGATCGATTTACGTATAAACTCCCGTTAAATCAGTGACGAAAATGCCATTAATCTGCTTATGTTTTAAAACTTAGATTCATTTGCACATACTTTTTGCTAGTATTTGCAAGATTCGTATATTCGCCACAGAATGAACGCATTGAACAAGAAAACAATGCAGGATAAATGTCTTTAAATTACGATTCAAAATTCAGACTCCAACTTAAATGATGCAATGTTGTTAGGCACGCAGTTTGTGATCGAAACAAACTGCGCGCCTAAGTAGGCGCGCAGCTTGACATGGGCACCATGTACTCCCCCATCCATCCATTTTGTAAGATCACCGGGCATGGTTAAAGTGAACTCCAAAAATAAACCTCAACCATCAATAGTTGTCACAATGAGCTAATTCTAAGCTTTAAGACTCAAACTCTCCCAAACGGTCGAAAAATAATCCCCTTTAACTTTAAGTAGCACAATTAATGAATCGAAGGCTTCCTATCTGCAAATGATGGATAAATTCCTCCATGATCGAATGCAAAATTCATAGCGTAAATCAGATATATGCGTGCCCGATCCGAACAGCTTATCCACTGAACGAAACGAAACTACCCTTGATCGCAGTAGACTTTTTTAAGTTGGCCATGCCTAGAGAGCCTTCAATTTTAGGCTCTTTAGCATTTTGATAACTGACTTTGCTGGGGAGCCTTAAATTTTAAGGTTCTTTAGTATTTTGGCTAGAGAGCCTTAGATTTTTAGGCTCTTCAGCATTTTGATAACCAACTTCGCTAAAGAGACTAAATTTTAAATTTCTATAATATTTTTGGCTAAAGTGCCTTTAACTTTTCACCTTCCATAGGTGTAGCCGATGAGTGAGATCGCACACCCCCCATAACCAATAAAAACAGAACCGTTAGATAGAAGAAAAGAGCTCTAAATTACTTTCTATTTTAAGCTTCTGGCTCAATTTTAATGGAAGTTACATCAATTTTTGTAAAATTCAAAACAAATCTTTAGAAAAGAATTTTTGGGGTTGATTATGTCACAGTCGCAGCCCCCCCCCCCCTGAAAATCAAAATTTCATTGGTGATCGCACCCCGCCCTCTGATTGAAAGATGGCTACGCCCCTGCCTTCACTATTTTATAATTCACCAATCAACGTATCATATCATATTTAAGAAGATATCGGTCAAATATGCAACACATTTTTGTTCATTATAAAGCTAGAAGTGTGCCTTTGGGACTGCCTCAGCCTGGTCCTATTTACTAGAATAAACAAGATCCTTTTCTTCAAAACTGCAATGGAGACAAGCCACAAAAACGCTGATACAGAGTAATGGCTTTTATAATGTAAGAAATAATAATGAAAGAAATCTTCACATGAAATTTTTTTTTAAATACTAGCATACAAAATCAGCATTGAAATCAATAGATCAGGGAATGTGTTTTCTGATGTTTGTGAATTCCGGATAAATGTGTGCATTTACTAGAATAAACAAGATCCTTTTCTTCATCCCTCGGTCTTCATCCTAGGTTAGATTAGATTTATAAATTTAATAATATTTTTGCCACCTTCCAATTGGATTCCTTGTATTCTGTAAGCTTGAGCATCTAGCAAGTCCAATGCAAGTGATTTATTCCACTAAAACACTTTAGCGTTGGAACAAGCCAAAGATTCTTAAAAATTGGGTTAATGATTTTAAGACGGATGTAAGAGAACTTCTGGTTTGTTGTTCACAGAAAAAATATAACTTTAGTTACAGCATTGGATCGAACCTGCGCCGTCGAAGACAGCCAAACACAGTAGCCAGAGTGAATGAACCTGCAGAAAATTTTGCAACTATATATTATATATGTGTAATATTTGACATTCTAGATTGGGAACCTTTTCAAGACCTTAGTTTATTGTGTAGGAAACGTAAACATCGGTAATAAACAATATAAGCACTCATCATCATACAGGGTGTTCAAAAAAAAAACGCAACCCAAAGAAATCGCTATATCTTGGAAAATACTTATCCAATTGTGTTTATTTTTTCAGAAAAGAAAGAAGAGACTGTGTGTGTATAGCTCCTGCTGTTAGTTAGTTGTAAAACATGATGCCTTGAACACCATCTTAAAAGACATTAGTATTAGAAAGATAGGAAAAACGCAGTCAGAGGTGACAGCCAGAGCAATTAACCCTCATAACCTTTTAACCATGGTGTTTTGGCACTTCAGATTAGACACAAATTATCTTCATATGATATGTAGTGAATTAGGTGAGTTTCATTAAAATCACTGCAGGGACCTTGCAGTCATGATCAAAATGCTTCCTTAAGTCTGGCTGAACCAGGATGTTTGACTGAGTTTTGAAAGCATTTCAACCCAAACTGTAAAGTCCCTGGAGTGATTTTGATTTCACTCTTCAGATTTATCATACATTGAATGAAGATGATTTGTGCCAAATTTGAATAGCCAAAACACTATGGTTAGAAAGTTATTTGGTTTTCTTGCTGTGGCAGTCGTCTCTGACTGCGTTTTTCGTATCTCTCCAATATTAATGTCTTTTGAGCAGTTGTCCAAGGCATCAAGTTTTACAACTAACTAACAACATGAGCTATACATACACAGTCTCTTCTTTCTTTCCTGAAAAAATGAACACAATTGGACAAGTATTTTCCAAGATATAGCGATTTCTTTGGGTTGCGTTTTTTTTGAACACCCTGTATTATCCTGCATATTTAAGCTGATAATAACTGACTATAAACAAGGCTCTCTAGCTAAATAAAATACTATGTTCAGTATAGCATTAAATTCTAAGGTTCTTTAGCATTTTGGCTAAAGAGCCTATAATTAAAGGTTATCTAGACACTTCGTTTTAAGTTTAAATATCTGTTATGTGAGTATCACTTCAAAATTTCAATATCCCAATGGTCATTTTGGACACAAATTCCACTATATTTGTACTTTCCAGGACATAGAAAATAGAGCACTTAATTACCCAAATGCGTGTAGGTAGTTACCAGTTTCACCACCAGGTGGCTGATTCGGGTCAATTAACATGGCAGGTATATAAGAAAGTTCCCTTAAACTTGAATATTATCAATTTTAGTGGCTCAATTTTCATATAACCCTTATGTGCCTGATACTTATACTAATGAAAATATGTCCAGTAAAGCAAAATATTATCTGCCCACTAAAAGAAAAGATATTTCATTTTTTGTGATTTTATAGCATGGGGTCTATGGGGAATCTCCCCGAGCTAGAAGTCACAAGTTGATAAACACTTTTTAAAACCACATTTCTAGATGTAATTTAACATGTAGATTTCAAATATGATATTACTTTGACTGAATTTTGAATTTTTAATGACGTAAATCAAGATTATTTCTACTCGCATCTGGGTTATTCCCTGAGGTTAGAATATATTACATTTGAGAGAGATTACATTTGAGAGAGAATATATTGATACCGATAGTAATAATTTTTGGAGTTCACCCCAAAGCATAGCAAATCCCATCGAACAGCCATGGCTGGCATATTTGCAAAGTATATAAAAAAATGGCAGCCATTTTCCAAAATGGCCACCTTCTACCAAAAGTGTCATTAGATAGTGGCCATGCCTATAGTATTAACATACCAAATATGAGCAAAATCACTCCACAACTTTTCGAGTAAAATACGTTAAAATGGTGGCCATTTTGAAAAATGGCTACCTACTACCAAAAGTGTCTAAAGACAGTGTGCCATGCTTATAGTATTCACAGACAAAATATGAACAAAATCACTCTTCTACTTTTCGAGTTATAGTAAAATATGTAAAAATGGTGGCCATTTTGAAAAATGGCCACCTTCTACCAAAAGTGTCGTTAGACAGTGCGCCATGCTTATAGTATTAACATACCAAATATGAACAAAAACGCTAAATTACTTTTCGAGTTATAGTAAAATATGTTAAAATGGCGGCCATTTTGAAAATGGCCACCTTCTACCAAAAGTGTCATTAGACAGTTTGCCATGCTTATAGTATTCACATACCAAATATGAAAAAAACGCTCCACTACTTTTCGAGTTATAATAAAATATGTTAAAATTGCGGCCATTTTTCTACCAAAAGTGTAATTAGACAGTGTGACATGCTTATAGTATTCACATACCAAATATGAACAAAATCACTCCACTACTTTTTGAGTTATAGTCAAATACGTTAAAATGGCGGCCATTTTTCAAAATGGCCACCTTCTACCAAAAGTGTCATTAGACAGTGTGACATGCTTATAGTATTCACATACCAAATATGAACAAAATCTCTCTCCTACTTTTCAAGTTATAGTTAAATACGTTAAAATGGCAGCCATTTTTCAAAATGGCTACCATTTTTCAAAATGGCTACCATTTTCCAAAATGGCTGTCTTCTACCAAAAGTGTCATTAGACAGTGTGCCATGATTATAGTATTCACATACCAAATATGAACAAAATCGCTCCACTACTTTTTGAGTTATAGTAAAATACGTTAAAATGGCGGCCATTTTTCAAAATGGTCGCCTTCTACCAAAAGTTTCATTACACATTGTGTCATGCTTATAGTATTCACATCCAAATATGAACAAAATCGCTCCACTACTTTTCGAGTTACTGCAAAAATCGTAAAATAACTAGTAAATGCCGCCATTTTTCAAGATGGCTGCCATGTGCTTCTTAGATATCTACATTTCTAGCTTTATTAATGTCCTATATAATTTTTTACATTTAAAACATATTGCTATTACAGTTTTAAATATTGTACCTAAATTACTGTAAAATCGGCACTAAAATGGCCACCATTTTTAAATGAGCGGCCATTTTGAAAATCGGCTTTTGAGCAGAACTTCTACTCCCATAGGGTATATGTGTACAAAATATGAACAAAATCGGGCCAACGGTATTTGAGTTATTGCCCGGACGGATGTACGGATGGCCAGACGGACAGATGGCAAGACGGACAGAGGCGTTCCCAATATCCCTCCGAACTTCTTTCGAGGGGATAATAATCAATTAAGGCGATTTTGTTATACTATCTGTCATCGTTTTAATGTTGTCATTTGATAATGCCAAATAAAAATATCAATAAAAAGTAACAACTAGATAGGTTTTGTGTTTTCAAGAATTCAATTTTTAACTACATGTATTCAGATTATTCAATCTCTGTCTATGCTGAGGGTACGTGGGTATGAGCTATGAGGTTTTTATACAAAGCCGTATTTATCACATACATGTAGGTGAGACAAATGACACATTAACAAGTATTTCATAAACTATTGTCTTCCAGCCTAACTTATGAAGCAACAAATCATTGAGGAATACTTACTTTAAAGGTCCTGTCATCAGATACTGAGACAAGTGTTGAACTGTAGTGCGGACAAAACTGAGCAGCATTTACATATGATGTATGGCCTTCCAGTACTGCAAGTGGACCAGTGGACTTCTCCTGAAATAACAAGGAGACAAACATGTACTACATGTCCCCACCAATGGATGATCCTATTTATTACTGTATTGTAGATTTTTCATCCTCAATGCCTAACACTCATCAGTTGGAGCAACAAGATTAAAGGACAAAATTGATGTGCCATGCCCACTCTGAAGAGTGGTTGTGAAGAGCTCAGATTCATGCAATGAATTTAATTCACTTTACATATTGGTAATGCAGTGGCGTAGCCAGTGCATGTGTTAACTTCCCATTGCACTATGTGCTAAAGCCTCTTTATGTTTGAATTTTTATTTATATAATCTACATTAAAAATACTTATGATGAAACTTGACTTAGTTTATTCCTTATACTTCCAAACCCTCAATTGCAATAGGTCAAAAATAGATGAATATTTGAAAATCATAATTCCCATGTAAATCCCCCCTCCCCCCTTTCCTTTTTCGCCTCCTAGATTATTTCAATGGGATACTTACTGTGATAGGGGTAATCAAGAGTTAGGATTCAAAAGCTAGTCAAGCAAGGTTTATGATATACTCAGAAAATGTGATTTATTAGATTATTGGAATAATTAAAATCTGGATACTGAAAATCTGGTGTACATGGTTGAAAAGAAATTTAAAATATTATTTGTAGAAAAATGGAAAAATGATTTGAACACTTATCCTATATTGAGAATTTTCAAATTACCACCCCCCCCCCCCTTCATTTTTCGCCTCCTTGATTATTTCAATGGGATACTTACTGTGATAGGGGTAATCAAGAGTTAGGATTCAAAAGCTAGTCAAGCAAGGTTTATGATATACTCAGAAAATGTGATTTATTAGATTATTGGAATAATCAAAATCTGGATACTGAAAATCTGGTGTACATGGTTGAAAAGAAATTTAAAATATTATTTGTAGAAAAATGGAAAAATGATTTGAACACTTATCCTATATTGAGAATTTACAAATTACCACCCCCCCCCCTTCCTTTTTCCCCTCCTTGATTATTTCAATGGGATACTTACTGTGATAGGGGTAATCAAGAGTTAGGATTCAAAAGCTAGTCAAGCAAGGTTTATGATATACTCAGAAAATGTGATTTATTAGATTATTGGAATAATCAAAATCTGGATACTGAAAATCTGGTGAACATGGTTGAAAAGAAATTTAAAATATTATTTGTAGAAAAATGGAAAAATGATTTGAACACTTATCCTATATTGAGAATGTACAAATTATTTAAAAATGATTTTGGTAAAGAATTGTACTCGAAACTAGATAATAATAATAAAAAGTATAGATTGGCTACAAGTAAATTTAGAATGAGTTCTCATCAGTTAGCAATTGAGACTGGAAGACATACAAAGCCAAAACCAAAGGAGGAAAGATTATGCAATATTTGTAAAGATGTGGAGGATGAATGTCATTTCTTTTTAGCTTGTATAAAGGATGATGAAAAAAGGCAAATATTATATACAAAAGCCTGTGAAATTTTACCTAACTTGGATTTACGAAGTGAAAATTTATTTGTCAATCTTTTTTCTAGTAAAAATGTAACCTTGCAGACATATTGGCAAATTCATTTACCATTCATTTAAGAATTTAGCATGGTCATTATGCATTGTGTGTGTACCACACTATAATTGTTACCTTATATACATGTACAGTGTATTTTTATATTCTTTTGTATTTTTTTTAGTTTAGTTAGTGTTTTGTAGTTTAGATATGTAGTTTACCTTAGTTCTGACTTATGCAATCATGTTATGATACTATATGTTGATAAAATGTTACAACAAGAACACAAATGTGTACAAAATGTCCCCACCAATGGGGGATCCCGTCAAATGGTTATCCTGAAAATGAGTAGACAAGACTTTACTGACACAATTTGAGGACAGAAAATCCAAAATGGCCGCCTTAAAATTTACCCAGAATCCCCCAAAATAAGTTAGTTCTAGATTTTCATAATAAGAACCACCCCTGAAAATTTGAAATTGATCCGTCAAACAGTTAAACAAGACTTTACAGACAAGATTTTAGGATGGAAAATCCAAAATGGCTACCTTGACATTTACCCAGAATGTCAAAAAACTAATCAGTTCTAGATTTTCATACTAAGAATCATCCCTGAAAATTTGAAATTGATCTACCAAACGGTTCACCTGAAAACGTGTAGACAAGACTTTACAGACAAGATTTTAGGACAGAAAATCCAAAATGGCTGCCTTGACATTTACTCAGAATGCCAAAAAACTAATCAAATTTAGATTTTCATACTAAGAATCATCTCTGAAAATTTGAAATTGATCTACCAAACGGTTCACCCAAAAACGCGTAGACAAGACTTTACAGGCAAGATTTTAAGATGGAAAATCCAAAATGGCTGCCTTGACATTTATCCAGAATGCCAAAAAACTAATCAGATCTAGATTTTCATACTAAGAATCATCCCTGAAAATTTGAAATTGATCTAACAAACGGTTCACCTGGAAATGCGTATACAAGACTTAACCGACAAGATTTTAGGACAGAAAATCCAAAATGGCTGCCTTGACATTTACCCAGAAAGCCAAAAGAACTAATCAGATCTAGATTTTCATACTAAGAATCATCCCTGAAAATTTGAAATTGATCTACCAAACGGTTCACCTGGAAATGCGTAGACAAGACTTTACAGACAAGATTTTAGGACGGAAAATCCAAAATTGCTGCCTTGAAGTTTACCCAGAATGCCAAAAACCTAATCAGATCTAGATTTTCATACTAAGAATCATCCCTGAAAATTTGAAATTGATCTACCAAACAGTTTACCTGAAAACGCGTAAACAAGACTTTACAGACAAGATTTTAGGACTGAAAATCCAAAATGGCTGCCTTGAAATTTACCCAGAACGCCAAGAAACTAATCAGATCTAGATTTTTATACTAAGAATCATCCCTGAAAATTTGAAATTGATCTACCAAACGGTTCACCTGAAAACGCGTAGACAAGACTTTACAGACAAGATTTTAGGACGGAAAAAACCAAAATGGCCGACAATAAAAAAGTGATTACGAGTTTTTGCTGATTTCCTTTTACAAAATTATCACATATAACTACTGTTAACAATAACATAAGCTTTTACAACAAAGTACACCTGAAATTATTTATAAAGCTACTAAATACAAAGTATGAAAACTCAAAAACACCATTCAATATGATACAAAGTATTATCGCGCGCTAACTTTTCTTAAGACATTCAAAATGGCTGACATGACTGAGCTAACAGGTCCAAAACCTAATCAGATGTAGAATGAAGTGAGCTAAACAAGATGTTAAAATTTTAAAAGCAACTGTGAAGCCGTTTTTCTTAAAGTTTGCAGACAAGGATTTTATCATTTGACCTCAAAATGGCCGACAGGAAGTAGCTATCGAGTTAATTTTTTTATCCACATCTGTATGCACTCACAAGTTATTCCTGAAAATTTGAAGGTGATACCTGTAGCGGTTTTGGAGAAAACTGCCAGACGTACGGATGGACGGACGGACAGACAGACAGACAGACAACCAGACGGACAGATGCGCCTAGGACGATAAAATGGCCCCACACTATGTGGTCGGGACATAATAAAAGGTTATAATAATGGGAGAGGTTTCTTGAAATATTAAGACTTTGGAGACTTTGTTGAAAATAAAGAAAGATATAATCTTTTGTTAAATAAAAATTCAATTGTTTACTTAACTTTTGTGAGATAAGGTATTGGAAATGATGTCAATTTATATTTGCAGGGCCTAAAACAGTTTTTTTTCTTTATAGATTATGCAAATAACAATTCAAGCATTAAAAGAGGCTTTAACACGTATTCTAATGGTGGAGTTAGGGTTGCCAAACTATTCGAGGTAGTGTTAGTTGTATGTATAAAAACAGAAAAAAAATTAACAGGAACCCAAATGAAGAGAAATGGGAGGGGGAATTTTGTATAACATAGAAAATAGAACCCCTGGTCACAAAATTTACCTTTAGCTTTGTGGGTAAGATATGAACCTCTCTTTCAATACACAATGCAACGAGCTTGGCATCAGAACTGAAGCAGGAGTACTGGACCCGCCCCATGGTTTGGCCAATCACATGACCCCTGATTTGTGCACCTAAGTAAAAATATTACATATTGAGTATTCTGAATGTGTAAATAATTAATTGTAATATGTTTCATTGCCAAAAAGGGTTACTATTCCATCCAGACTGAGCTGAAGTGTTTTGCTCATTTACCAACTGAACAGTGCCCAAACAACACTAATTTCTTGGTGATGTAAAGCCACTTGCAATATTATTATTAATGACATGACTCTTAAACTAACCGTGGCATTTCAAGTTTGAATACCAATAGACTAGATGGAAGAAGAAATAATCTTGATTTACATCATTAAAAATTCAGTTAAACTGATGTCATATTTGAAATCTACATGTAAAAGAACATCTAGGAATGTGGCTTTGAAAAGAGTTTATCAACTTTGTAAATTTAATTTTCTTTGAAAATGTGACTTCTAGGCCGGGGAGATTCCCTATAGACCCCATGTTGTAAAATTACAAAAAGTGAAATATCTTTTCTTGTGTTGGGCAGATAAAATTTTCCTTTACTGGACATATTGTAATTTGTATAATAATTTAATTTGTATAACTATCAGTCAATAAGGGTAATATGAAAAGTGAACCACTAAAACTGATAAATAATCAACTTTAAAGTAACTTTGTAATACCTAGCCATGTTATTTCCCCCGAATTAGCCACCTGGTGGTGAAACTGGTCACTACCTACCGAAGTGGTGTCAAAAAGTGGCCCCAGTGGATAATAACAGGCTTCGAGAATGTTGCATGTTTCCATTGAACCCCATGTTAATTCATCAATCTTCAAAAGACCCCCTGCAGAACAGTTCAAGAGCAATAAAGTCAATCTTCCTAGTATGTAACCATGACTTAAATGTCTTCAAAATAAGAAGGGTTACAAGCTAGATTTTGTCTAGTTCAAAAGATATTGGCGTTTGAATTTAGGAAAATTCCCATTGACTGCCATTATATATATACATACGTACATATATATATTCAAAATGGCTTTACTAAAGGGTCATTTTTTCCAAAAGTCCACTATGGAATTTTCTAATGTTGCAGATTTCTACAGCCAAAAAACCAAACAGGCACATTTCTAAAAATTTATAATTTTTAATATATCTAGTTATTAAGTTGCTCACGGAAACTCCATTGAGTCCCATGTTGTAACGCAGATGCGAGTAGGTAGTTACCAGTTTCGCCACCAGGTGGCTCGCTCGGGTCATATTTTGTTTCTTTATCTTTTTATCATATATATATCTTTTATTGACTCTTTAGATGTCATATCATGACATATTAGTCACTAGGGTAGAGCAGTTCTTCCCATTGTCGAGTTGAAGAACTGGTATCTTTATCCTGGCTAGAACCATAGACAATTCTAGCCAGCGCCAGCCTTTTATCGAGTAAGCAGCACTCTAGTAATCGCCGGTATAGGTCAGCAGTCACAGGTCAAAGACAAATCACAAGAAGTGCTGTGACCTGGGTTTGAACCCAAGACCTCTACTTTTCAGCCTGAAGCCAGACTTCCTGCTTTTCAGACCAATGCCTTAACCACTAGGCCAACCCGGCAACCACTACAGATAACATGGCGGGTATAGTAGAAAGTTCCCTTTAACTTAAATTACATCTGTTTTAGTGGTTCAATTTTTATATAACCCTTATGTATCTAATAGTTATGCAAATTAAAATATGTCCAGTAAAAGAAAATGTTATCTGTCCAATACAAGAAAAGATATTTCACTTTTTGTGATTTTGTAACATGGGGTCTATGAGGAATCAACCCTAGCTAGAAGTCACATTTTCAAAAAAAATTAAATTTTCAAAGTTGATAAACAATTTTCGAAACCATTTTTCTCGATGTACTTTTACATGTAGATTTCAAATATGACATCACTTTGAATTTTGAATATTTAATGACGTAAATCAATATTATTTCTATTCGCATCTAGTCTATTCATCAATCCTCAAAAGACCCCCTGCAGAACAGATCAAGAGCAATAAAGTCAATCTTACTAGCATGTAACCATAACTTGAATGTCTTCAAAATAAGAAGGGTTACAAGTTGCATTTTATCTCATTCAAAAGATATTGACGATTGAATTTTGGGAAATCCCCATTGACAACCATTATAAACTACTATCAATATGACTTTACCAAAATGTCATTTTCTCCAAAAGTTCACTATGGAATTTTCTGATATTGCAGATTTCTATAGCCAAAATATTATAAAAAAAATCAAACTGGCACATTTCTAAAATTTTTGATTTTGAATATATCTAGCTATTAAGTTGCACATGAAAACTCCCATTGGCTGCCATTATAAACCGCTGTCAACATGGCTTTACTAATAAAGTGCCATTTTCTCTAAAAGTCCATTATGGAATTTTCTGATATTGCAGATTTCTATAGTCTGATAGTTGATATATTTACTTTTTAAAAACCGGGCACATTCCTCAAAATTTCTTGTTCTTAATATATTTAGCCATAAGTCACATACAAGAATCCTCATTGACTGCCATTATAAACTGATATCAATATGCTTTTACTAAAGTGTCCTTTCCCCGAAAAGTCCAATATGAATTTCTCTGATATTGCAGATTTCCCATTTCTATAAATAAGAAAATATCATAGTGGACTTTTGGAGATAAGTACACTTTATTCATAAATCCATATTTATAGCAGTTTATAATGGCATCCAATGGGGATTTTCGGTCAACTTAAAGATTCGCGCAATCTTTATCCAATCAGCGTTTGCGATGCGAATCGGCTCACGCATAAAAGGCGAATCCAACTCAAAATCCATGCAGGGGTGTATGAGGTACTCGAAATCGGAAAGAGCTCGTGAAATCTGAATTTACATGCACATGGTAAGTGTTTACACATGTTTCGAGTTATTGAAGAAAATGTGATATTGGGGTAGTTCCGAATTGCTGGAAAATATGGTTTTAATACATGAAATTATATCTATAAATACAGCACTAAAAATAACAGTACACATGAAGTACAGGGTGTTCAGGAAATAAAGATAATAATGTCATAACTTTTTTTATTTATTCATGGATTTGTCAACTTGTGACCAATCAGCGACGATGTCATCTCAATACAGATTTACATTATAAGCGTATGTCATCTTTGAACCCTGGTGTTTCTCCCCCTCTGAAACTTACTTATGGAGTTTCAGCTTCAAGCGATTTGATTGGTCAATTCTGTGGTTGGCATAGCAACATGAGTAGCGCTAAGGCGGGGCACATGGAATAACTGCAGTAGTTTATGTGTAATATTTAGCATGGAAAACCGATTTTGCCTCCATATTTAAAGCTTTCTTGGTGCGTCTCCATGATATAATTCTTTTATTATTTTGTTTTATGATATAAAAGTCAAACAACTGATCTTTTAATGATATTCAATGGGATTTTCACTACTTAATGCGGGCATTACGTAGAAAGCGACCTGGGATGCACCGGGATGCAATTTATCTTCCACTTTGACAATTCCCCCTCCCATACTGCTGCCATCATCACTCGAAAAATCGAGCAGCTGAGATAAGAGCAACTCAAGCATCCACCTTATTCACCCAACCTAGCACCAAATGATTTATACTTCTTTGCTGAATCAAAACGGGACTAAGAGGCCATGTATTTGAGAATGCTCATGCTATACGGTCACATGTGTTCAACAGACTTCATGAAATGAGTCAAGAAGAAATCTGTGAAGTTTTTGAAGAAGGTTCAGGAGGCAACGAATTTGTTTCTAAAAAGGAGGAAATTATGTAGAATAAATTGATGAATTGGCAAGGAATTTCAGGCTTATAGTTATAACTATGTTTAAGCATCCATTTTAAGTCAAAAACATGATACAATATCTTTTTAAAACATGCAAATATACTGCAGTTATTCCACCTGCCCCGCCTTAGCGCTACTCGCGTTGCTATGACAACTGCAGAATCAACAAATCATATCGCCTGAAGCTGAAATTCCAACAATAAGTTAAAATATGTTGAAACTATAATCTCTGAAAATTTCAATGCAATCCATGAACAAATATTAAAGTTATGACATTATTATCTTTATTTCCTGAACACCCTGTACATGCATGATTGTGTCCAGAAATGTTTGAAACCCTTACGGAAAATTCTGTCTGCATTTTGTCACCATTGCTCTTTCTACCCGCATTCTAGTGATATTTGGATGAATATATTTATGAATGTATTCCTAACTAAAATATATCACATTTTTTATAAACCACAAACATTTAGATTATAAAAAAATTATTCAATACTTGAGTGAGCATGATATGCAAGGGTTACTAAGTTGACACAGTAAATGACCACTGATATTGAGTTAGTCCATGCACACAGCGTATTCTGCCATTTATGTGATACATTGTATACTTGAACTAAGTAAAAGTGGTCTTTGTTCTAACGGTCAAAATTATGTTATTCAAAGTTACTTTATAATTAGGCGACAATACAGATTCAATGTGATATTTACGAACATTCAATTCAATATACTGCTGACCTTGCTCCTAATTATTCTATTTGGCTATTATCAAAAAAGATGTTTATTCCCTGCAATAAATGATTTGATTCCAAGAAAATGACAAGCTGAAATCACAGATTTAGAATCAATTTACAACTTGAATTGCCATGTAAAGTATGCTTCGTTAATACGTTTGGCACAATAAAAATACATAATCTAGTAAATTCCCTAATATAATTTGAATTTCGAATAAAAATATTTGAAAACATAATCCACTCTTGTATTTTCAGAAAGATGTCATCAAAGAGAATTCGCAAAGTCATCGACATAGCATTCAGCAGTTTAGATGAAAAAGAAGATTTCTTTCAGAGGTGGGACGAATTTCGAGAAAGACATCCTGCTCTCAAGAGCTCGGCATCGGCCATGTCATATTTGTTGAGCTGTGAAAACGGGATTTTGGGAACTATGTGCAGACCAGTGAAGATAGCTTCAATTATAACAATTTTAAAACTATTGACAAAGACTATTGACAACTATTGTCCATAGAATAATAAAAAAGCCTTAGGG